CTTTTTAGAAATGCAGTCTTTGAGACATCACGACCAATTATGCAACTACTAGAAAAACTAGGTGTAATCTAAATAATTTAGTACAAAAATACTTAACGGCACGCAACCCGTATTTAGATTTACAAAAAAAAAAAGGGAACGCATTCCGTATTTACTATCCTAGTCGGGTCATACTAGTTTCCATTTTGTAAAACCTGCATTAGAACATCTATTCCATTCATCCATTCACTTCTAAAGTGAATGGCCCATGCATATTACAAAAAATTCAAGCAACAATTCAAACGAGCTCAAACTAGTTAGTTACTTAGGTGGTTAATCCGATTAACGCGCCTAATTAAAACTAGTCAAAGTAGTTATTGGATTATGTGAATTAACGCAATAATAATAGCAAAATCAAGGCTAATTTATGCTCAAAACGATTAATGAAGCTCCCACTATCCAACTTAATTAAAATTAATCAAGCTAGTTCACCCAAAAAATTTGTCAAAAAATTGCAAGTACTAGAAAAACCAAGGTCTAGCCTCATTTTAATAAAATCGCAAAATAGCAAACCCCAAAGGCCGAGTGCCTAGCATCCAAGCCAGGGGTCTAGGGTTGCTAGCCACCCTTGCCAATAGCCGCGTGTGTGTGCTGGCACGCTCAGCTAGAAGTGCATGGCACACCTACTGGCACCAGCTACCTCGCAGCATGCTGATGGCGCTGGCAGCTTGTGCTGTGCCTGTTAGCACTCGCGCACTGCCTAGCAGTGCTAGCGGGTTGGCCTGCCGTACCCACCGCGTATTTGCTCGCACACAACGCACACACACGCACACCCTTGGCTTGGCAGCAACATGCGGGCTGCGCAAGCAGCCCTGCTAACCGAGCCTAGGTACTCGAAAACTTGTGCTTCAGGATTTTATTCCAAATTTTTGTGTGAAGTAAAATTAATTTTAGAACTAATTTTTAGCTATATTGAAAATAAAACAAGTCCAACTTAAATAATTTCAATTTTAGTGCACAAACCAAAATTTATTCAAGAACTATTCTTTAAGTTATTTTTGGCTCAATTTGATGCAACAAAAAAAATTGAGGGCTTTTCTCACAATTAATTTAACCAACATAAATTAATAATGAGATTTGACAAAAATAGTTGAATAAATAAATAATAATCCAATGAAAAAATTTATCCAACACTTACTTATGCACATATGAACATTACAACCTTCCAATATGAAGAGTAATGATATTTCAAGCACAAGTATGAACATTTAAGATTTTAATCAACTTCCAAAATGATTAAAACCAAAAATTTGTTCATTTATGGAATTTAGCAAGTTAAGATTCAACCATTTAAACATTAAAGATTGAATCTTTAACATTTTAAGGGCTTTAAAAATTGTATTCACCATAAACTTTCACACTACAAGTAATTTATTTGCAAGAATGTGAAATTTCAAGTTTATGTGAAATTAAGAGCTCACCAAATTAAGCAACCAATATGACTTCATAAACATGCTTAATAAGATATAAAAATGCAAAAGATTAATGGTATAATCAAACACATAATCCAACAATTGCATGCCATAATTAATCAGGTTTAAAGATTTAAAATTTTTCGTTCAAAGCGAAAAACCCCTCGAAAACCACTTTTTGGGTGGATTTTGGCTTCTAGAAGGTCAGTTTAAATCACTTTGTGGGTAAACTATGATTTAGAACGTCGATTCCACCCAAAATTCACTATTTTTGAGTCGAAATCGGGCTTCGTAGGCCAAAAATAGCATAAATACGATTTAAATCTAATTAAAAACGAGGTCCTAATCTAATTAGGATGCTAAACAAGAAATTTAAATCAATTTAAATTACCTTAATTAATTATTTTAGTTGGGTTTTGCAGTGTCCGACACCACGCGGAAACAAAACCCGAAAACCGAATCGCATGCATAATAATTACAGCATAACAAAATAGCATGCAAACAGATAAAACACAAACACATAAAGAGAAGAGAGAGAAAGAAGCTCATCTTAGACACGTGCTTCGCTCACTAATCAAGCTCGGACTTGGCAAACTTCAAGCCCCGCAAATGTAAGACCTCCGACGTCTCACACCCTCGATTACCGAACCGGCCCCTACCCCGTAGCTTAGACGGGGCTAGACCAAAATTACTAGAGTTTTACAAACTTAAGGCTTTCTCACTTAATAGGAGATTTCTTTTGAGTTTTACTCAAGTGAGTATTCCTAATACCCAAGGTGGGTTTTTATAGGGAAATACTCCCAAGAGTTTCCATCAACTTCTTATGTGGGAGAGTTGGTGAAATATGAAAATAAGCAATTAATTTAATTCCAAATTAAATTAAATAAGCTATGCAATAGTCAAATGACAGTGTAAACATGAGGGAGGGAGTAGGTAAGGACCACAAACCCATCCTTGGAGAGCAAGCATAAACCCACCAACTCACACTTGGTCAACATAAGGAAGACCGACCTTAAGCGTTGGGCTCCAAGGCACGCCTAGCTGGCGGCCATACCCTTGGCTGGGCCCGCTAGCACGCCGTAAGCCCACTAGAGCTGTTGGGTGCTAGCGGGCTGCTGCTAGGCTTGCTCGCGTGCTTGCGGGCTGGTGCTAGTGCTGCTAGTATTGACCTGCTCGCATGCTTGCGGGCTAATGCTAGCGCTGCGAGCTCGCCCAGCCATGCTTGTGAGGCCTTGCGCTGCTGGCTAGCTAGCTTAACCAGCACGCCCGGCTAGCGCACATGCGTGGCTACTGGGCTTGCGGCCGAGGCTAGCATGGTAGTCGCCATGCTAGCTAATGTTGCCTAGTCCTCGATTGGCTAGGCCAATCCGAGGCTAGGTCTTTTGCGACGACTTGCCATTTGACTTATTTTCTCATTTCCTCAATTGCATGAATTGACTCGACTTACGATGCTCGGCTTCGATTCTCTAAGCTCGAAATCCGACGTCTTCGTTTGTAAAATCTCTGTCGACTCAGTTAATTCCACGGATTAATTCGTCGCCTTGGTTTGGTTACACGATTGGGTGTGACCCGAAGGGTTCAATCAAGAGCATATTGTAATATTAATTATTCATTAATATTACTGATCGGAAGCGGCCTCCAGGTAAGTATTCCGATCACTTGACTTCACCGAATAATTAGCTTTCCTAATTAGTTCCGAACCCTCTATTAGAATAATACACTTGTTTGAAGGACACCATTCCTTTCACAATTCTCTCACAGCATATATATTACCTGATCTCGGGATCCGAGAAGATTCATTTTACTTTCTGCATTTTACTCAATTTCGACCCTTGCTAACTTGATTGTCGGAGGCGGAACTTTGTACAACCAGAGCTTCCATACTTACAGGTACAGGCAAAGAGGATCCAGTCTTGGTGACGTAACTCTCCCGCAGGACACATAAAAACCCCAAAACATTTGGCGCCGTCTGTGGGGAGAGTACCTCTAAGAGGGTTTCTAGAGAACCTGTGCCGACTTCTAAGGACAAACGTCCGTCAGCAGAGGTCCATTCGGACATGATACTGAGTTGGATCTAGAGGTCAAAGTACATACGACCAAAGATGGATCTCTCATCTCTAAACGCATCCGCCAAAAAGAGAAAAAGAAGCGGGGCGAAAATAAGGCAGGTCGAGCAAGTCAGCCGGCAAGCCTCAAGCTGAAGGGAAGACTGCTCACATCACCCGTGAAGAGTTTATGAAGTTTATGACGAACTTCAAAGGTGAGATTAAAGATCTCATCAAGAGTCAGGCGGCCGGTCTAAGCAAGGGAAAGTCGGCCAAAAATCCTTCTCACTCTGAGAAGGCCAAGTCGGTCAGGGACCGGCAACCCACTCCACATCCCAAGAAAAAGGAGGGGGATCGACCCTTGATTGACTGGGCAAAATTCCGTCTCCTAGAAACGATGAAGAGGAAGCCCATCCGACATGTACAGCCAGATGACAGCAAGAAGACTTTCACTGATGCTCGGTAGGTCATCGAGCATAGGAGGAACAACTAGCTATCTGACATGACATCCACGCTGACAATGCCAGACAGCTTTAGGAATACCTCATTGAGGTATTTTTAATCAGCACAAGAGCACCTGTCCGGCGGCCAGTCCGTCCATACAGGTCCCAATGTGATAGGCTCGGCGCTATATGTACCCCATTGACCATGCGGGGTGTTTTCCCAACAATTCCAGCAGCCTGCACTCTTTGGTGGAAAGGAGGCATATCAAGTCTAACCCTTGGACTAGCAGATCCATCTGCTCAAACTTGGAGAACAACCCACTGCGTTCTCTAAGGAGATAACCGAGGCGACACAACTAGCCAAGGTTAAGAATACCCTAGTTGGTGCCTATTATGGCACTACCAACCTAAAAGACCACCTAATTACATATACCAACCTCATGTATCTACAGGGGTTGGATGATGCTGTATGGTGCAAATGCTTCCCAGCTACACTGAAAGGAATTGCCCAATAGTGGTTTGGCAACTTGCCGCCTGAGTGCATAAATAATTTCAAGACGCTTGCGTTCCTGTTCGCCTTTAACATCTCCATGAACAAACCGCCCAAGAAGACAATCATCAACTTGGGCACGGTTGTTCAGGGAGATAGGGAGGGGCTCCGCTCTTACGTCAGGCGGTTCAATATGGTGAGAATCTCGATTCATGGGCTGTCAGACGAAGTTGCTTTCACAGACTTTTTCAAAGGTCTGAAGGATGGGTCACGGTTCAAGTTTGACCTCGTTGAGAAGAGAATCTTCACTCTTCAGGAAGTGCCGAGGGAGGTAGAAGCCTATGTACAAGCGACTGAGCTCTGCTCCTACAGCAAGTAGTCGGACTCAAAGAGGTCCGACAGAAAAAAAGGGAGTCGGCAAGTTCAGTCGGCTCAGAAAAATGAAGAGAGCAAAAAGAGAAATAACATCTAGGCGGTCGACGATTCTAGTCAGCCATCCAAGAAGAAAAAGAAAGAAGTTAAACCGTACGTCCTTAAGTACGAGTTTAACAAAGACTATTACTCCATCCTCATGGAGATCAAAGACTGGGTGAGCTATGAAAAGCCCTTGGCAATGAAAGGTCCGGCCAAGTACCGAGACAAGTACAAGTATTGCCATTTCCATGAATATATAGGCCATGACATCAATGCTACAGCCTCAAGAGGTTATTGGAATAAATTGGCTGCAAAGGGATTGCTGAAATTTTATGTTTTGAAGTCCAAGGTGACTCTGCAAACTGACCCCAAGCAGTTGTCGAAGAAAGCAGCCAAAGCTGGCAGTGGTTCGGACACTGATCAGGACATGATCTGCACAGGCGGATTTGCTTCAGGCGGCCCAACTATTAGAGGCACCAAGGATCATGTCAGAAAAATGGTCAACTCAGTTGACGAAGGCCAAACGTCTGCCAACACATTTCTTCAGTTTGTCATCTCTAAAAAGGACCGGGGCAAGGTCTGCCGGTCGCATGAAGACTCCATAGTTATTGAATTCAAGGTGGGTAACCAAAAGGTTGGTCGGATCCTCATTGATACCGGCATTTCGTCTGACATAATTAGTTGGCAATGTTTGTCAAAGCTGAGATACAACCTAGACAGCATGCACAAGGTCTCTTCTTCCCTGGTTGGTTTTGGGGGTGGAGTTGTGTACCTAGTTGGCCTCATTGATCTACCTTTCCGGTTAGGAGAGAAGGGAGAAGGGCGGCACATGGTCGTCCGGTTCTTGGTAGATGAAGAGATGACCGCCTATAATCTCATCTTAGGCCGTCCGACTTTAAATGAATCCAAGGCCGTCATTATCCACTCCCTCATTTTGTTGAAATTTGAGAAGGATGATGGCTCTTTTGTCTCCTTGAACGGAGATCAGAAGACGGCTTGAAAGTGCTACCTCTCAGATGTTAAGCCTACAGCTATTGGCTTGGACATGGAGCCGATAGACCTTAACGAGGTCAAGGGCCCTAAGTCTGCCCTACCAACAAGAGGCAAGAAGAGAAAGGTCGACCAGCTGGTAACCGTCAAGAAGGAGAAGCAATAGCAATCACTGACTGGGGAACGGTCAGATGAACTCCGTCCCCAGCTGGCTGGTGAGCACATTGACATCGTTTTGGATGACACACGTCTAGAAAGAACTGTTAAGGTGGGGATGGTTGCCTTTGGAAGATTGGGGCAAACTTACACAATCTGTTGAAGGAATTCAAGGATGTTTTTGATTTTGAAGTAGAGGAGATGTCAAAAATCAACCTGTATCTAGCCGTCCACAAACTCGCCGTTGACCCGAAGAAAAAGCCTGTCAGGAAAAAGAAAAGGTTTCACGGTGAGGAGAGAAGTCAGGCGACAGCCGCTGAAGTCAAAAAGCTGTTAGACACCGGGTTGATTCGGCAATGTTACTTCCCAGATTGGGTAGCAAATGTTGTTCTTGTCAAGAAGTTGAATGGGACCTAGCGCATGTGTGTTGATTGCACAAATTTGAACAAGGCATGTCTAAAGGACAGTTACACGCTTCCAAAGATCGACAGTCTGGTCGATTCGATAGTCCGACATGCCATGATGAGTTTTATGGACATCTACTCAGGCTTTCACTAGATACCCTTGTGGAAGTAAGATTAAGAGAAGATGACATTCTTCACTGATTAAGGGTTATTCTGTTATACTGTGATGCCGTTTGGCTTGAAAAATGCACCTGCTACATTCCAACGTATGATTAATACGGTCTTCATTAACCAGATTGGTAGGAATGTAGAGGCGTACATTGATGACATGATAGTCAAATCCAAGCTGCACACGGGTCACCTTGTTGACCTCCGAGAAACCTTCACCACACTCAGGCGGCACAAGGTCATGCTAAATCCCAAGAAGTGTGTCTTTGTCATTGAGTCTGGGAAGTTTCTTGGATTTTTAATTGATCAAAGCGGGATAGAGGCAAACCTAGAGAAGATACAAGCGGTCATTGACATGAAGTCACCCTGCACTGTCAGAGAAGTTCAGAAGTTAACAGTTTGCCTAGCGGCATTGGAAAGATTCCTCAGCCGGTCAGGTGACAAGTGCCTCTATTTCTTCTAAGCTATCCGAAAGAAAACGGTGTTTGAATGGGGAGATGATGCTGAGGCGGCATTTTCAAAATTAAATGAACACTTGCACTCCTTGCCAAGGCTTATAAGCCCTCTGCCAAGGAGACGCTTTACACGTACCTAGCCGTCTCAGATCATGCTCTTAGAGCTGTTCTCCTTGCCGAGAGAGACGACAATCAGCTCCCGGTCTATTTTGTTAGCCACGTTCTTCGAAATGCAGAACTCCGGTACTCAACGGTTGAGAAATTTGGCCTCGCCCTTTTCATGGCAGTCAAGAAGCTGAAACCATACTTCTTGGCACATCCGGTGGTAGTCTATACAGACCAACTACTCAAGGGGCCAATGACAACCCTAGAGTCATCCAGTCGAATGCTCAAATGGGTTATCGAAATGCAGAGTCTTGAAATCACTTTCGAACCAAGGAAGGCAGTGAAAGGTCAGGTGTTCGCCAACTTCATTGTTGAAATAACACCGTCCGATAGAGCCGAAAAATTTGGATTAGGTTTGGAAAGTGTATGTAGACGGGAGCTCTACTATGAACGGTTGTGGTGTAGGGCTTATATGTCAGTCTCCTGAAGGGGACAAATATGAATATGTCCTACGGTTCAAGTTTCAAGCCTCAAATAACGAGGCTGAATATGAACCCCTGTTAGCCGGCATCCGCATGTGTAATGCGGCAGGGGCAAATAAAATTAACGCCTGCTTGGACTCACAGTTGGTCGTTAGCCAATACCACGGTGACTATGAGGCCACCCATCCGACTATGATCAAATATTTGCAATCGGTCAAGATAGAGGCTGGAACACTTGACGAATTTCACCTAATTCAAGTTCCCCGGTTAGAGAACAATTTGGCGGATGCTCTATCAAAACTGACATCATCCGCCTCCTTTGATACACCTCGGTCATTCTTTTGGGGCGTGATGGAAAAACGAAGTATCGAAGAAGATCCCATTAGTGCACTAGAGCGAAGCTCAACTTGGATGGACGACATTCGTGCTTACTTGCGAGACGACACTCTGTCGGATACTTATCTAGAAAAGGTCGCAATGAAAAAGCGTGTGGCCAATTTTGAAATTCACAATGGAGAACTATTCAAGAAGAGTTTTCTATTGCCACTTTTGAAATGCATCACCCCAGAAAGGGGGCGTGAGATCCTAGAGGATTTACACTCGGGCTATTGCGCCTCACACATAGGCGGCAAAGCTCTAGCAGGCAGGGCCAGGCGGTAAGGCTATTTTTGGCCAACTTTGGAGGCAGACGCCATGGAAATGGTGAAGAAGTGTGACAAATGCCAACGGTTTGGCAAGCTCATACAGCGTTCGACCACTGATCTGACTGTAATTCATAGCCCAATACCATTCTCCAAATGGGGCATAGATATCTTGGGTCCGTATACACCTGCGTCAGGCCAGAGACGGTACATTTTAGTGGATGTTGACTACCTCATCAAATGGGTTGAAGCAGAGGCGGTTAAGGGCATTAAGAAAAAGGATGTCATCTCATTCTTAAAGGAATGGTGTCCTTCGAACAAGTGTATTATTCCGATAAAGGGTTCAGAATTAATTAGGAAAGCTAATTAATTAGTGAGGTCAAGTGATAGGAATGCCTAGCTAAAGGCTGCTTTCGATCAGTAATATTAATGTATAATTAATATTACAGCTTGCTCTTTACTAAACCCTTTGGGTCACACCCAATCGTGTGACCGAACCAAAGTGACGAATTAATCCGAAGGATTAAATGAGTCAATGGAGATTTACACACCAAGACGTCGGATTCCGAGCTTAGAGCATCAAACCCGAGCGTCAAAAGTCGAGTCGTATTTTGGAATCCACAAGACTGAAAAATCAGTTAAACAACAAGTCAATACATAGTCGTAACCTCGCATTGGCCTAGCCAAGCGAGGGATAGACTATATAAGGCTGCTAGCCTAAATGTTAGCAAGGCCGCAAGCCCAGCAACCTATGCATATGTTGGCTGGAGCTTGTTGGCTGAGCTCGCGTGCTGGCAAGGCCAGTCGCACGCTAGAATGCTGGGCCTTGCTGGCTACTGCTAGTGCTAGCTAGCCCGGGCTGCTTGCCCAACAAGAGCAGCAGCACCCCGCATCGCACAATAGCTTTTGTGGGGTAGCGAGGCTGGTGCAGCAGCAGCAAGCGACCCGCATATGCATGGCTTGCTGTTGCAGGCTGATGCATCAAGGCCGAGCCGAGGGACCAGGCGCCAGCATGGTTGCCTCGGTGCCCAAGGCGGGTTGCCAACTGGTCGCCTCCTATTGCACCGGTTTTGTGAAAGGGGTTTTTCTTGGGGAGCAAGGGGAAGATGGTCTTCCCCTTGTGGTCCTCACTTGACCCCTTGCTCTCCTTGTGCCACTTGTTGTTTGATGATTGCCTTACCATTTTAATTTAATTTAGAATTAAATTCATTCTTTCTTTTAGCATTTTACCAACTATCCCACATTGCAAGATGATGAGAATTCTTAGGAACAATTCCCTCTAAATACCAACTATTGGGTATTGGAAAATTCACTTGAATTGGTGAACTCTTAGGGATCTCCAAAAGCGAGAAAAACTTAGTTCGTAAACTCTATGTTATTTTTGGTCTAGCCCTGTCTAAGCTACGGGGTAGGGGCCGATACCTGTTTGGTAAGCGAGGGTGTGAGCCGTCGGAGGTTTCGTACTTGCGGAGCATGAAGCTTTAAGTCCAAGCACATTGAGTGAGTGAAGCACGCATCTAGGGTGAGTTTCTTCCTCTATCTTCTCTTTATGTGTTCGTGTTTTGTTTATTTGCATGCTTTTGTTTTATGTTGTAATTATTATGCATGCGATCCGGTTTTCGAGTTTTGTTTCCGCGCGGTGTCGTACACCGCAAAACCCAACAACGCTATAAGAGCCTATTGCATTTAATTTTTACAACTAAAAATTAATTAAGGTGATTTAAATTTTTGGTTAAGGATCCTAATTAGATTAGGAGCTCATATTTAATTAGATTAAAATCGTATTTATGCTATTTTTGGCCAACGAACCTCGATTTCGACTCAAAAATAGTGAATTGTGGGTGGAATCGACATTCTAAATCATTAGTGGTTAAATTGACCTTCTAGAAGCCAAAATCCACCCAGAAAGTGGTTGTTCTAGGGGTTTTTCGTTTGGAACGAAATTTTTTAAATCTTTAAACCTTGATTAATTATGGCATGTGATTGTTGGATTATGTGTTTGATTATACCATTAATCTTCTGCAATTTTACACCTTACTAAGCATGTTTATGAAGGCTTATTGGTTGCTTAATTTGGTGAGCTCTTAATTTCACATAAACTTGAAATTTCACATTCTTGCAAATAAATTTCTTGTAGTGTGAAAGTTTATGGTGAAGATGATTTTTGAAGCCCTTAAAATGTTAAAGATTCAATCTTTAATGGCTTAAATGGTTGAACCTTAACTTGCTAAAATCCAAAATGAACTAATTTTTGGTTTTAATCATTTTGGAAGTTGATTATAATCTAAAATGTTAATACTTGTGCTTGAAATATTATTGTTCGTCATATTGGAAGGTTACAATATTCAAATGTGCATAAGTAAGTGTCAGTAAATCATTTCATTGGATGATTGATTATTTATTCAACTATTTTGTCAAATCTCATTATTAATTTATGTTGATTAAATTAATTGTGAGAATAACTCTCAATTTTTGTTGCATCAAGTTAAGCTAAAATAATTTAAAGAATGGTTCTTGAATTAATTTTGGTTTGTGCACTTAAATTGAATTTAATTAAGTTGGACTTGTTTTATTTTCAATATTGCTCAATATTAGTTCT